ACAAATAAGTGCAACATCTGTTTATTATTGTTCTGGAAATCATATTTTTTATCTATACACCAAATTCATTATCCCATCTTCAAGGCGAGACTTAATCCGAACCTCAGTGTAAATGAAAGGTCGTCCCCATCAGGCTTATCATGATTTAATATACCTCATTGTGTCATAAAACCTTCATAAGATCCTTGATAAGAGTTCAAATAATGTGTTTAAGCTCTACTCACCAAAGTAAAGCTAAGAATATATTAACACATGTTAGTTCGTTCTATTATGTTCGTTGTATATGCAATATTAGTTTTCTGGGTCTATAATAATTATAATATATATTATACATAATATTGTCTTCATTACGAAGTAAATGTTCTGCTAAAATATTAAAAAATTTTATTACATTATATTATAACGACCCAATTATGACTTTCTGTGGAGATTTACAGGAACACAAATTAGTAAACGATACTATTGTAAAAATAGAATAAAGCGCTGAATGAAATTCCTGAACTTTTTGAAAACTTGCAGTATTCATGTTCACGATACGAACTGATGAAGCGTTCGGTGTCCTAATGTAAGTGTTAACTCTGACCATCATCTGTTTTGAATTGTCAGATTATATTCAATATATGTAGAAAATGCTAACTAAAATACTGTAGTAGCGATATGGTTAGTATTTCATTTTATTATTATGGGATCCTATGTTAGCTGCGGTAAGGTCATACAACATCGGGTGAATCGAAAATCTTAAGTGCAGAATCTCTGCACTTAAGGTTTTCGATTCACCCGAGCTCTATAAAAAAAATAAAAAAACCTGAAAAACTTTTCTTGGTGCATATTAGTGTTCTCTTGCTGTCTTTCGTAGATTCAATTGTAAAGTTTGCAAAAACTCACATATTGCAGTTATTCGATCTCTGATGTTTTATGTTAATTATTATATTATGCGTTTTATTGCCATAATACTTTATATAAATGGTCAGAAAAAGTGACTAATCTTCATCAGCGACATGAAATGTTTTAAAAAAGAATGCTAAAAGATATAGCTAATTTCGTCGGCGTCTCCTCTAACATAAAACATCTGGTTCTCCCTTACCTCACTCACCAGACAAAATTTAAAAGTTCAAATACTTTCTGGTTACTTCGAGTTTCTGCAGACGCGCCTGCCAATTCTTACAACAGCAGATTCTGCTCTGTGGCTATACCACAGTCTATTCCAAAAAGGGCATAGGTACCACTTGTGTAAGCAAAATGCCTCTACCAGTATATATACCTATGTATATTTAAGTATATATGTCGTATCTATGGCCTCTACGACATAATGTCATATGTCGACATGATGTTGCCTTAAAAGATATGGAAAGTAAAAACAGAAGATAACAGTCTTCAAGGAGCTTTCAGTTTCCGTTATCAAGATCCGACACGTAACATAGAAGCGTTCGCAATCAGGGCTCCCGTGCCTGGCGGCAGTAAGCGGAATAAATTAAAACTTGGCCCACACCGCTTAGGCCCGAACTGAATTAACACAACTTGTACTTTATATCATGCGAATTCGAAATTATAGCTGTACGTACAAATTGCCTAAATTATGTTTCACGCTGTTTCGAAATAGCTTTCGTGTATACACATGTTTATGTTTTACGTACATTTGTATTATAACTTTATTCAGTAACGTTTGGTCTAATTAAAGCCTGCCTACAGTAACGTAAACGGTAAGGTTATATACAGCGTGTCGTTACCATCGCGACAATAAATGAACACACGTCTAACGCTACTTGCCAATAATCATAAAAAAATTTTACGTTAAACAAAATGCATAATTTAAAAAAAAATTTTCAAACAAACTAATTAAGTAAAAAAGAAACAAAATTTGTAACATCCTATACAAATCGCGCCACAGCGTCGCATTACAAGCCTCTCCTTCTAACAGTATGTTTTGTCTCTTTTAAATTCATTCAACCCTGTACTGTAACGTAAATGAACTTTACGTTACAGTTTTATACGTAAGGGTGTTCTAAAATTCTTTGTTTCGGAAAATTTAATAACACTGTAAATATTGATGTTTAAAGAATGTAAATGTTTAATACAATTTTAAAAAGTTATCCCCTATATGTGTGTTCATTTATTGTCGCGATTGTAAAGACACGCTGTATAAAGAAATAAAGCTTATTAAGTTATACAAATTTCAATATGTAATGCAATTCTTTAATGATACCGATGTTCAATTCATCATATTAGGAAAAATAATGTAATTGAATATATAATAGAAACGATTATAATTACTCGAAGCTCTCCCATGAATACTATTCGAGTTTTAGCAATTCTATTTAAAATGTTTCAATTCATCCATTGGAACCGCAATAGTTTCATTCCGACAACATAATTGCAAACTTATGTCATTAGTATTTCGTTATCATTCGGAAACTTTTTAGTGATGACGGGCAAAACTTTTATAACACCTTTGTGTTCCATGATATTAAATTTAAACGACACATACCTAAATACAGTTAATACATTCAGCGACCCCTAATTCTTTTTCTTGAACTCGACCGCTACATAACACACGATGGCAATATAATTTAACTTTGTAACAATGGGGAATGGATGCTTTAGCGGATAGTCCTTCTAGCTGCTTCTGTTGTTGCAGGAACGGGTCGGCTGGACCAAGAAAACGTCATAGCCATACAAAATAAACCGTATAGCTTGAAAAGGGATTCATTTGACGGCGTTTCGTACGATGCGATAACTCTTCGCCAGCCATCTTATTTTATACATGACTATCAACGGTTTTTATCTACTATCAGATGACCACTTGATTACTTAAAGAACTTACTTAGGTATGCATTTATTTGTCTTACAATAAGTTGCCGAATTCGTGTGTATATGACATCTGTCCGGACCGCTAGTTTAATATATAAAAAATAGATAAATAGACATATAAAATTAAATAAATAAATCAGGTGAACAATGGCTAAGGCGTAAGGGCGTGAATCCCGAAGACGTGGGTTCGATTCCCACAGCGGCGATAAACTTTTCGTACTTATTTCTATAAAGTTTAATGGAAATAGGAGTATTAAATGTACAGTCAAAATGTAGTCAGTCATCTTGATATCAAGATAGCGCTAACAGAGAGGGTGGCTTATTATTAATAAAACACAACGTTTTAAAATAGTACTTTATTTATATTTACAGCTGAAAACTTAATCACACGTGAAGATTTTACATTATAATGCAGTCGAATACAGGAACAACAAAACGTGTCAACGTGTCTTATACAAACATGTACGCGGACAGACAAACAAAATAAGAGCCTATACATTCAAAAGCGCAAATTCCACTATATTTACATACGACAGTCAATGGCCGCACCGCACTATTAAGCAGCCCTAAGGATGAAATTTGAACTCTAAAAAAGTTTTACGAATTGGTCACGCAATGGTCATAGGCGGTCAGTGATTTTTAGCAGTTGATCAATGCCTGACACTAACTAAAGAGAGTTTAAAGTTGCAAGGCCATCGGAAATTTTCTTTTATAAGTTTCCCCATATTATTCATTATTTACATAGAATAAAACAAATTCGCTCCCGATGTTTGTACGTTTAGAACTTTTAAACTACACAACGGATTTTAATGCGCTTTTCAGCAATAGATTAAGTGATTCAGGCGGAAGGTTTATCCATATGTATACATGCATATTATAGTAGAGAAAAACCGAGGAATTTAATATCTACATTGCACCGTGCGAAGCAGGGGCGGGTCGCTAGTGCCAAAATATGTACATATATGACGATAATTAGCTGCTAATTGCTAACAATTAAAGGCTGACCAATTACCGGAATACTTTGATTTTTGTCTTTGAAAGAACATAATAGGGATGTCCTTGAAATTATAAACTCCTGTAATTATTTTCAAACGGTCGACCAATTATTGCAAGCTTCTGAAAAATTGTGTGTGTTCCGAAACTTTCTAGGATCATTGCTCGATGTTGCAAAGTTACTATTTTGAAGAACTCTCCCACCACTTCCATTTTTTTTTATTTTTCTAATTAATACATAAATAGCATTGACCAATTATCAAAGTTTTTTACACTTTCATTGGGATTAAAGATTATTCAAAATAAGCTTATCCTATTTACTCGATAACTGTACAAAGTTGTAAAACCTAATTAGATATTTATCTCTGAAGAAGATGTTGTCTTTGATGTGTATTTGTTAGAAAAATATGTTAATTCAATATTTGTTTCTACCTTAACCAATATACCTCTGCTGAATTTTATCGAGAAAAAGAAAATGACAATAACCAATGTACGGTCAGCATCATAGTTAAAGTTTATTTTTGAATAACGATAACTAAATTGAAAAGTATGAGCTTACTTAGTTCATATATATTTATTCATTTTTTCATGTTCACTTATCTCTATTCACATTACTAGATGTTTTATATCATCATTTTTATATTTTAGAACCGTTTTATACCAATTTTCTAACAAGATGAACGTTTTTTAATTGCGGAATTATAAAATATATATATTTATCTAACTCCACATAACAGAACAATAAAGTAAACAGGTAAACATTTGATACAAAATGTCAAACTATATAGTTTATTTCATAGGGCTAATTAACATTAAGTTTAAGAACAAAAACATTTTGTGAAACAAAAAGCTTTTAATGTTAGTCTGTGATCGTGGGACAGTCCACTCAATATTTATGCTAGTTTGGTGCTCCCGTTTATTTTTAACAAACGCGGCAGAATTCCTCTCCTGTTCAAAAATCGACCTAGTCTTCATGGATTCAAAGTCGAAATTCCTCTATCGTGTCAAAAAATACATCATTAGTTGCGAGAAGAATTAATTTTCGCTGTTGTTATAATAATGGAACAAGCGCGAATTATAATTAGAATGAAATTCCTACACTTGAAAGTGTACTTGAAAAAGTGCGTTATATGCGAATTAATCTGCCGTTCGAAAGTCGACCCTATTGCTTGAGCGATATGGGCGGATCCGCGAAGCTACTCCCAGCGGCTTCTCTTGCCGCCGCGGCGCACGCGGTCGGCCTGGGCGGGCTGGGCCATCTGGGCAGACTGGGCCATCTGGGCCATCTGGGCTGGCTCGGCGGGCTCGTCGAGCTGGGCGGTAGGTGCGTTGACGCCGGGCTGGATGGCGGGCCGCGTCTGCTCCCACGAGTGGTCCGTCGACGCCGTGAACTGTTCGACGGAAGGTGATGATGAGCTAGTTCCGCCATGGTAACGCCTGTTAACTTTTAGTACGGGCCAAACTTTCAAGTGGGCGAGAAGCGGTTATTTTACCAAGCGTCACGCCTCGTCTCAGACACATATTCCACGAGGGTATGGCCAATTCACGTAACAGCCACTGCCTAAGTTTATCACCGAGGGTGTTTTAGTGGGTAAGATGCCACACACATGACCTTGTCATATAAGGTGACAGGGTGTCTTTTGAAGGTTTCCCACCCGATACAAATAAAACGCACCGTACCTGGTTGTATTGGGAGCGAAACGCCTGCTTCAGCGAGGCGAGGCGGTCCGTGGCGGGCCCGTGGCCCTTGTCGGCGGAGGGCACGGTGGGCACTATCTCGTCGCTGTAAGCCGGTAGACCAGGCCGCTCCTTGTACCTGGCGTCATACCGACGATGTTAGGGTCACGATGACGGTACTCGTGGGGTCAGTATGACATCTCAAAGGACAGTAATGTCATCTCATGGGGTCATAATGAATTCTCATGGAGTCGTAATGACATCTCATGGGATCCTAATGGTGATATCGTGACTTTTTCCATTATTCACCGTAACGTGCAAAGAGTTACGACGCGGAACTTTATGGTTATTAACTTTATATTCGCTTATAAATCGGAGCAATCTATAAACGACACTCAAAACCAATATATGGTTTCTATTTTAACTACTAATAAATTACAATGGTCACTTTTTTATGGGAGCTGGCGGTTCACCTTGTTACGCGATAAGCGCTGCCCATGGACATTTGCAACATCTGATGAAGATATCAGTTTAAAATTATTATGGTAACTAAAGGTATTCAAAGTACAAAGAAAGTATTTATATTGAGGGTAACACAAAAGTTTAATTATCTATGATAAAAATAAAATAAAAACAATATAGGCTGGATTGTGACAAATAACAAAACTCACCCTAATCCACATCCGCCAACATTTAAGTTCTTCCCTTTGCCTTTCTTGAAACGCGATTTGCGGAACCAAGCCGATTGCATCGCCAATTGCATCAGTTCTTCGGGAACCTCCTAAACATTAAGTATTTTATAACGATTATCGGCACACAAGCAGTTATAATATCACGAGGTAAACTAAATTATGTTATTCATTTTTAATAAATACATAATTAAAAAAATGTGAGTGAGTGAAAGTATCAAGGTCATCAATGCGAGTACATCAGTGCTAGTTAAGTGTTCGCGTACCAGCAAAATGCAGCCACAGTTTTTGCAGGATTTTTGGAATGAATTAAGATTTTTTTGTGAGATATTTGCGATTTCAATCCTCATTAACCGACTTCAAAAAAGGAGGAGGTTTCTCAATTCGACCGTATCTTTTTTTTTATGTGCGTTCGTGAATAACTTCGTCTTTTATGAACCGATTTTGATGATTCTTTTTTTGTCGGAAAGGAGATATCTCAAGGGTGGTACCATGATAAGGAAACCCGGATCTGATGATGGCATCCCAGAGAAATCGAGTGCCATCATTGAATGTTATAGGTATTAACAATGTTTTTAATTATCTGATTGAAGTCGGTTTTTTTTTTGTTAAAAATTATTACTCATTATATTGAGCTTCATCTAACACAGTGCTCAAGAAGAGAATTACATGTGTGTGTAACAATCTCATAATAGAAAATGGTGCTTTATGTGTGGTGGGTGAGTAGTACAGAGTGCGTGTCCTAAGTCTTACACAACCGTGCGCCGTGTATGCCATTTAATCAAAGTCCTTACCACTCGTGGGTGTACAAAGTGAGTGTATGCGTTAGCGTTAAGTCAATGTTGAATCAATGAACCTTGTGCGCAGGCTGAGCTATCATTTCGTGAATAAAGTTAGTGAGTTAGCGAACGTGTGAGATTGAGAGTGGGTTTGTAGATGAGTGGGTGAGTTGGTGTGATGGGAAGGTGGTTGAGTGAATCAGATAGAAAGCGAGTGAATGAGTGTGTAAATGAGCGAGTGCATGATTGGGTGCGTGAGCGAGTGCATGAGTGCATGAGTGAGCGAGCGAGCGACCTGCTGCACGGCCTCGAGGCTGCGCAGCAGGTGCGCGGCGAAGTCGCGGTCGCGGTCCCTGGCGAGCAGCGTGTGCGCGTCGCCGCGCACGCCGGCGCGGCCCGTGCGCCCCACGCGGTGCGTGTGCGTGTCGATGTCGCGCGCCGGCGCGTAGTTCACCACGGTGCGCACGTGCGGGATGTCCAGCCCGCGCGCTGCCCGGCAGAACGAATTTGAATACATTTAAATCTACAATTGTCCTTCGAGACCGCTCTGGCCGTTGTTCAACTCCAAGATGCGTGCCGTGCAAATGTTTCGTTTTGAATTACGAAGATATAGATAGCTTGACCGAGAACAATCTCCTGGAACTCTAATGGAAAATATAATGTTATCGCATTTAAAACTCGCACCAAAAATCGCATAAAAATTGGGATCACCAGAAAGAGAGTCATATAGAATGCAGTGACCAGCTCACCGGCGACGTCGGTCGCGACCAGTATGCTGCTCTCCTGCCGCTTGAAGGCCGTGATGACTTTGTTCCGGTCCGCCTGGTCCATATCACCGTGCAGGAGCAGCGCGTCGTACTCCTGGACCCCCAGGTTTGCAGCGGTCTGCTCCGCTTCCAGCTGCAAAGGTTTACCGCATCAATAAATACCAATCACTACTATCTTTAGATTAAAAGTAATGTGACAAGGGTGGGAAACTAAATTAAATAAAACAAGTCTTTAATGTCAATTAACCAAAAAAAAAAAAAAAAGAAGTTATGCAATCATCATCCTTTTAATGGGGAAAGATAAAAAAAATTGCACACCTTTTTGGTAACGAATATTATGACACTGCCCGCCGACAGAAATTCCACTAAGTTCTTCAACAGCCAGGACCACTTCTCCTCTGGTTTGTTAAATATCCTGGAAATAATTCAGTAAAGTTAAAAAATTTTAAATAACAACCTACACAAGTCCCACTGCTGAGCAAAAGCCTCCCCTCTAATGAAGGAATTAGGGCATAGTCCACCACGCGTCCGTCTAACGCAACAGATGAATCTGCGATGCGACATTACAATAGTCAAAACATGGTTTAAGATATTCACCAAACCCTTCGAGGGCAATTCTACAGTCTATAAGTGTTGACTATCAGGCACACTGAACGCCACGAAGACTTCAACGCTAAGAAAAAGCTGTTAAAGCCTTATCTCTGACAGAACCTTCGTTCTTCACCAGGAGAATATGGGAGGAGGGTCGAAACGCGCGAGGGTAGTAAGTAAAGAATGTATAGATGAAATGGACGGTTAGACATGGGGTCACAATGACGATAAGAAGTCATTGTGACTCGATGTCTAACCGTAAATATCAGAAGTTCCATGACTACTGATAAATCATAATTATGGCCATATGGTCATAATGAATATAAGGTGAAATGAGCCTTTAGTCATGGAGTCATAATGACTATAAGATGAAATTGACGAATAGTCTCGGGTCACAATTACGATGAGATGAAATGGACTATTAGTCATAAGGGTTACAATGATGATAAGAAGAAATGAGCAGTTAGTCATGGGGACATAATGACGATAATGAAATTAAAGATTAGACATGGGGTCACAATGACGATAAGATGAAATGAAGTTAGTCATGGGGACATAATGACGACATGATGAAATGAAGTCGTCATGGGGTCACAATGACAGTAAGATGAAATGAAGTTAGTCATGCGGTCACAATGACGGTAAGATGAAATGAAGCTAGTCATGCGGTCACAATGACGGTAAGATGAAATGAAGCTAGTCACGCGGTCACAATGACGGTAAGATGAAATCAAGTAAGTCATGGGGTCAATGACTATAAGATGAAATGTAGCTAGTCATGCGGTCACAATGACGGTAAGATAAAATGAAGTTAGTCACGGGGTCGCAATAACGATAAAGTGAAAAGGACGGTCAGTCAGTCATGTGTCGGTCGAAAGTCGGGCCGCACCTGACGTGCTGCGCGACCAGGTCGCAGGCCTCGCCGGCGGCGCCGTGCTGCACGCGCACCGGGTCGTGCAGCGCGTCGCGCGCCAGCCGCTCCACGCGGCGCGGGAACGTCGCCGAGAACAGCAGCGCCTGCCGCTCGGGCCGCACGTGCGCGCAGATAGACCGCACCTGCGGCTCTGCGCCACCGCCCCCGACACTTTCACTTGCCGCGGCGGCCGAGTGAAGTGAGGAGTCGAGTACAAGTGCGAGTGTTACACTTCTGCGTCTCGCCCGGCGAGCGAGGTAGCCGGGGCCCCAATTTATTTAAAGGGGGCAACGCATTCGCAACCCTACGGGGGACGCGAATGTCCATAGGCGGCGATTATTACTCAACATCAGGTGAACCGACAGCTCGTTTGCCAATTTTTCACATGAAAAAAAAACAAGTTTCGTTTGACAGGGTCGGATTTGGGCATGGTGAAAGTCGACTTCATAGAGCACACATCATAATTCTGAATTCAGAATCGACACCAGTTCCAATTTAAACGAATATCACTAACATATCCTCGGTAGAAATAAAACCAGTACAACTCCCAATTTTGCTACCTTCTTATTATTGTTAGTCAGCAACAATTCCAACCCAATGAACTTTTCATTTTGATAGATTGGTATAATTGTATTTATATATCCATTTATGTAAAGTAATTTAATTATAGTACTTTTTCGTAACATCCTTAGATATGGATAGTATATGGATAGTATAAAAAAGTGCTTATAATTTAATAAATTAAATGCAAATGCACCAAAATTACAACACCACAAGGTACTACAAGTATGTTCCAGTAAGAAATACAAAACAATATAACAATTGCATAAATAAAAATAATGTACCAGTCAAACACTGGTTCAATTAGTAAAATAAATGGATCCAACAATTATTATCACACAATACAAAACTCACCAAATCCCATATCAAACATCCTATCTGCCTCGTCCAACACTAAATATGTAACCCGATGAAGGTTTGTTGCTTTGCACTTGATCAGATCTATCATACGGCCCGGTGTACCCACAACTATTTCAGCCCCACCTAAAAAGTTTGATATTATGATGTTGTTCAATATTCACTAACTTAATAACAGATTTGACAAATATTTCATGTAGTTGGCTACAAATAGAGATACAATAACTTGTATGAACACTCTCTTGAATGTATAAAAATGTTTCCTAATTGCACAATTTCATATAACATATGGACACACATACAGCACACATTTTGAATTTGATTTTCATTTTTTTTGTTAGTGGAATGTGACTTGTTTTTTTTTTTTTAATTAATTAAAACCAACTTATCCTAATTCAGGTCCACTAAACATTTTCCAGAGAATTAATCTATTAAATGATAATAAATCTTATACCTTTAAACGAGCAATTCTTATATAATCGGAATCTCAGAATTGGCTACAGCGATTTTCATGAAATTTAGTATGTGCGTAGATTCGGGGGCGAAAAATCGTTCTGGCTAGGTTTCATTTTTAGAAAATGACGTTTTATCCCAGTTTTCAGGAAATTAAAAATATCATTCGAATAAGACGGTAAATTAGACCGAAAAAAAAATTTTATAATAGCTCGGTCGGTAATCGGGCGGCCCCGAACAGAAGGTTCGTGTCACGATCATTTACACACTTATTTTTTTTACTTTTTTTCTATACCAGATGATTGCTTCCTTTATTTTTTTTACGAAAATAGACGATTTACCAAAAAAAACCGAGCAAAGCTTGGCCCTCCAGGTACTATACATTAATTGATAAGTGTTAATACTCATCTAAACTAAAATGTTAATGAGCACTAGATAAATACAAATACTTTAAAACATGTTATATTTCTCGGATGTATAATTAATTAATAGAATTTTTTAAGACCATTTACCTTCCAATGCCTTAGACTGCTCCCACTTTGATCCACCACCGTAGCAACACACGCACCTTATATTATAAACTTTACCAAATCTTTTTGCCTCCATGTATATCTGGAAAATTAATATTACAATTACATAGTATTTGATTACAAAACATTTTCTTTACAATCGAAATATTTATTAAAATATTTGAGTTGTCCTATTTGGATTTTTATATAGAACTTCATACTATGTATTTAGAACAGAATTGTTTTTCCAGCTGACAGGTAACTAACTCCTAAATAACTAATTACTGATAGGTTAGTCTATTAATAACATTTTAGGCAGACTTCTGCAAATAAAAAAAAGTCATATACAGTGTGTCGTTACCATCGCGACAATAAATGAACACACATACAGGGGATAACTTTTTAAAGTTGTATTAAACATTTAAATTCTTTAAACATCAATATTTACAGAGTTATTAAATTTTCCAATACAAAGAATTTTAGAACACCCTTACCTATAAAAGCGTAAGGTAAAGTTCATTTGTAAAGGTCACAAAGCATATGAATGGGTTGAATGAATTTAAAAGAGACAAAACATACTGTTAGAAGGAGAGGCTTGTAATACGACGCTGTGGCGCGAGTTGTACAGGTGTTACAAATTTTGTTTCTTTTTTACTTAATTAGTTTGTTTGAAAAATATTTTTTTTTTAATTATGGATTTTGTTTAACGTTAATATTTTTATATGATTATTGGCACGTAGCGTTAGACGTGTGTTCATTTATTGTCGCGATGGTAACGACAGCGACGGTATATTAAATGACTCCATAGCGCAGTTGCCAAGGTACTTCGAAGATGAAGTCGAAGGCTTGGACTTTGGGTGTCGTGAGTTCGATTCTCAAGACAACAATTTGTGAGACCCACAGATAGTTGTTTCCGATATTGGTGTTTGTCACATGAAATTTGTGTTTGTATATAGATAAATGTATAACGTTATACACATGGCAATTAGAAAAAAAATACATGTAAAGCGGCAGTCTTACCTGCTGTGCAAGTTCCCTCGTCGGCGCGAGTATGAGCCCAATAGGACCATCGCCTGGGGCCAACTCTTTCTGGTCCATAATGTGCACTAGTAGCGGCCACAAAAACGCCGCCGTCTTCCCTGAACCCGTGCGGGCGATTCCTGGAGACAATAATTATTTAAGGGAATGGAAGCCAACAACCACTCAACTTATACCGGTAAGTTATCCATGCAACCAAAGCACATTCAGAATTCTGCCAACAATGCCTCCATTCTTGAAGGTCCTTAAGGCACATCTATCCAGAAATACCGGTGGTGACCACTAAAGGTAACTACTTTTGACATGAAATGGGTTCCAAGTGCAGTGGACTGCATCAATAAAATCCGCTTTTGATATTTCTCATGTTCAAAGATTACTATGATGTAGGTCGAAAGTCTCAATATCCAACATGTTTGGTATAGCATAGTGGAAGGTGGATTAAGCACTTGTTATCTATAGGAGATAGAAATTCTCTTATGAGGCCAATATAGTTGCTGTCATAAGTATAATTTCTGATTGCCAACATGATACAGAAATGCAAGACCATAGTAAATGGTATGTATATGTATCATATATGATATATAAGGTAATATCTAACATAGTACATATCTTATACCACAATATCTTTTTAGTAATAAATTAAAAAGGTATAGTGTTTATTTCCAGTCAGATTCAAATTGCCATACCTATGAGATCTCTCCCAGACAATGCAGCAGGTACTCCGGCTGCTTGTATAGGTGTAGGCTGGGTATACTCTGAGCGGCGGATGGCTTTCATCAGTTGCTCGTCAAAGCCCAGATGGGCAAAACTGCTGACGGGACGAGGTGGATCGGGCCCAGTTATCTGGAAATGATTTAAACTTTTCGAAGCCAGTTGCAAATTGTAACCCATTCAGATATGTGTAATGCATGTTTAAGTGGTAATTTTTTTAGTGATCACACCAAAACAGTAATTTATTTTCACCAGTTAAAAATAACAACTGAAAGTCAAAGAGAATGAACCATGTCTCCTTTTCCAAAGAAAAACCCTGTACATATTTATAAAAGTAAAGTAACAGCCTATACTCCTCTATACAGAGGGTATCAGGGCATAGTCCACCACGCGGCCCCACTGCGGATTGGCGGACTTCACATATCTTCGAAATATATTTTTTTTGTTATTTTTTCGAAAATATGCAATTTCCTCACGATGTTTTCCTTCACCGCGGAGCACGTGATAAGTCAGCACTTAAGTTAAAAACTTCATTGGTGCCGGCACCGGGGATCGAAGTCAGGTTGCTCGAGTATATTGAATTAAAGGCGAGCGCACGGACACTGAGCTATCACGGCACATGAGATATCACGGCTCATACGCTCACATATTTATAACTATCACTCAATATTGTAAACGTAAATTTTTATTCAATTGTTATTCAAAACTATTTTAGAAGTTATATTTTTCAGCACAAGTACTATATTTTTCAGTGCTAAAGCACTAAGCCATGGGAATCGCCAATAGATGGGCGAATGATACGTAGATGATATATAGGATATCCTGGACAGAAAAGTCAAATATCAGTATGATATTTGTATGTAATGAACATGAAAGAGGGACATCTCATGGTACTAGCCTGGCTTGACTAGGATTTATACCGGGGAACTAAGATTGTGAGTTAATATCTGATATTAACTCACAATCTTAGTCTATCAATGTATGTCACTACGACTATGCCACCAAATGTAAATAATAAAGTTAGCAGTTATATCACCTTCACTCCCAAACTCTTTTTTAAATCCTCAACTTGTTGATGGGTCAAATTTTCAATTTCCTCATGGGGTACATAAAAATTCTTCTCAAACGGCTCATATTTAATTTCAGAATGGTCTATGGGCGGAAGTGGGTCAATGAATTTCTTTTTCGGCGGTGCTATTGGGTTACCATCTTCGTCATATTCAATTTCCAAATCTGAATCCTCCCCAGCATTTGCCAATGGATTTTCTTCCATATACCTGAAGCGAAGTTTATTATGCAATTATTAATATCACTGCCACTTTTTCAACAAATTTACCAATATATGGCCAGGTATGCCCCGATAGTATTAGAAATTACTCACCTATAATAACTTTCCTCATCATCCAACTCATCAATATCTCCACGGGTTCCTCTGCCACTGTCACCCTTCCCTGCTATGGCATTTTCTTTACTGGTAACTAAATCTTTTGCTGCCTGCTGCTCCAAGCCAGCCATGTATGCATCTAATGGATCTTCTTCATCTTCTTCTGCCTAAAAATAATTTATGAAATATTTTAATAAAATTTACTGTATATTATACAGACATAAATAGATAAGAGTTCAACTAAAACTCAACATACATAAGCATTCAACTTTAGTTTCTCAATATTTGTTTGTTTGTTAATTTAATACAATTAGTACATTATGCAGTAAGTAAAGAAATTAGTTAAGTAGCATTGTAAATTTTGCACATATATTCAATTATTAAAAAATACACTAGAGCTTGAAAGCCCAATGGCATTATTACAGCAATTACAGCAATGGCAGTAATTACAGCAACTTTTACCTTTGAACTGGAAGCAGCCTCATATGTTGGACTGCCAGGTGCAGGAATGTACGCCAAGGCTGGTGTTGGCGGCTCATCATCTTCATCAAAATACCTTGCAAGTTTAAGATATGTAGAGTAACAATATAATGTAAAATTACTTTGGTAAGATTTTTACAATATTGAGATTTCAATTTCTTATATTATCTTACTACAGCATTTATAAGACCCCAATAAATATCCCTTTACAAGAATCTAAAATTCATTAAGTAGAATACATTATAAGTTTTATGGTGGGATGTAACCAACAGAGAAAGACACAAAATTTTATGCTTAATTTGCTATTATTCACAATTTCTTCTACCAAATTCATCTAAGGTTTTTTTTAATGTGAGAAAGTGGCAAACAAGCTGGCTGTTAACCTGATGTTCAGTGATAACCGCCATCCATGGACATTTGCAACACCAATAATGCATTGACACCTTTAAATAAAGTGGGCCCCAGCTACCTCACTCACCAGATGAAATGCAGAAGTATAACACTTCTACTTTACACCGGTCTTCTGTGAGGTGGTGGTACTTACCCAGACTGACCTGCCCATTCGTGCAACAGTGAGCACTGTTGCGTGGCCCTACCACAGTTAAACCTGGTTTTAACCACAATGCAATATTTAAATTTTTCAAACTCACTCATCTTCCGTTTTAGAACGTTTTTTTCCGAGGGTTCCCCAGTTGCCGGCGACTGCGTTCTGAGTTATAGCATTCATTGTTGAATATCCCTGCTTAGACAGGCCAGTTGTTGGCGGCGGAACAGCATGCATAGAAGTCGTCGGCGGTGGTACAGCATGCAAAGACACATTTGAAGGATTGCGCTTTGGCATCGTAAAACCGGCGAAGCCAAACCCCTTCCCACCACTCCCTCCCGAATTATAGTTCATTTTTCTGAATTGAATGATTGACGATCGATATTGAGTTCAGTTTTAGATCATAACAAAGATTAGGTTATTTTTCTTAAAACATTCGTATGTTTAAAACAATAATTTATAATAATTCCAAGAATTACTAGAATTATATAGTAAAAATTACGAGTTTTTAGGATGAAAATTTACGCGCAACGTAAACGCAAAATATATTTCACTTACTTAACTTCAAAATTAATTAACAATATTCCTTTTTTATACCTAACTCAGAATGATATAATATATATATATATATATGTAATTAAATAAACGTCACTTATCACTCTTCACTTCAACATAGATTCCACAGGCTTAATATCTTACCGACCGAATTATCGAAATGTCATTACAGACAGCAGTATTTTATGTTTTAAATAAAAATTAAAAACGTATTTCTACAGCTATAGCACCGTGATCAAAAACAATATTTTGATAGTAACAATATTTATGATACATACATACATATTTTAGGACACATTCTTTTTACACAACGTTCTCTAGTCCCAAACTAAGCAATGCTTGTACTATGGGTACTAGAAAACTGTTAGACATACTTAACCATACTTTTATTTTTGTAAATAAATACACATTATACATATAAAAACACCCAGACACTAGAAAAACACTATGCTCATCACACAATATTTTTCCAGTAGTGGGGATTGAACCCACACCCTCTGGCGCAGAAGGCAGGTACACTACCGACTACGCCATTCGGGTCGTCATATGTATGATAGTTTATTGTTGGGCCGCTGGCTTCAAGTTCATCGGAAGTTCGGAAGTGTCAAGTCAACTGTCAAGTGATCCGCAGGGAGATTAGCAGGCTACCCTATATTTTCTCAAACCCGATTAAGAAAAGTTTGACAATTTAACTACCTATCGCCTTAGAGTTAAGTACCAGCGACAGTCCAAGAATCCATATTATGCTAAAGGCATTTAGTGGAGTACAAATGAACTAGCAACCCGCCCCGGCTTCGCACAGGTGCAATGCTGGTGTTTTTGACATGGCATTACAAACCTCTAAAATTATCAGTGTTTCTCCACTATATTAAGCATGAATTATACATATAAACCTTCCTCTTGAATTACTCTATCTATTAAAGAAAACCACATCGAAATCCGTTGCGTAGTTTTAAAAATCTAAGCATAAATAGGGACAGACAGACAGCGGGATGATTTTGTTTCATACTAGGTAGTGATGAGTACACTTGCCAAAGTTAGTTGTCAAGTGACAACTTGTATCTTGTGTCTTGTACTGATGTTTTTGCTTTCAGTCTCGAGACTATTAAAGCTTCATCTGACACAGAACCGGTGGGCTAGCCAGAACCCACGAGTTTGGGCCCTCCGCTGTGGGTATGGCCACGCATGTGCTCATGCGTGCGTTTAAGTATGGTGTGCCATCGAGGTCGCGGTTCGGACCGAAATCCCGATGGCCGTCGACTGTGCAATTAACTAATCAGTGGCTGGGAGCGGTGAGAACCGCCCCGGAACGCGGGTGTACCTTGTGTAAGCGTTGTGTTGGTCTCGCCGTGCTCGGAGGCGAAGGCGAACTATTGTGTTTGTTGTTGCACTAACTGTGGGGGTAATGTCATCCGGGGGGACCCCCTGCGGTGGGTCTGACGTATCTAAGTCCCATTCATGGACCGGGTCGATTAGGACGTTTCGCGGGCGACGCTTGTTGACTTTCGCGTTTGTGTTGGGTTGGTGATTTGCTGCGCTTACCACCAGAGGGTTGGGATGATGTTCGGCTCTATCGAAGAATCGTTTGGTCAGGTCTTTAAAATATTCGCGAATCGTCGGGAGTCTGCAATCGCTGTGCAAGTCGACGTTGAGTTGATACCACTGCGCACCGGTTGCGCGGCGGATGAACTTATTTTGTACTATTTGCAACTTGTACAAGCGAGTAGGGTGCGTGTGGGCGAAGGTCATGCATGCGTAGGACATATAGGTCGTACGCAGGTCTTATATAATAATAATTTGTACCTTTTGTTACATCGAAGAAAAGAGCCCCTGTACTAATATGTTTAGGGTGATTTAGGCCTTTTAGGATATGTTCCGTTAGGCGGAATAGTTGATCGGGACAGGAATGTCTAGCTCGAAAGCCGAATTGTTCCGCCGGCAGAAGGCCGTTGGAAAACACGTGCTCATTGAGCCTGTTTAATAAAAGCCGCTCGTAGAGCTTCCCCAGGCAACTGAGGAGGCTGATGAGACGATAACTAGAGGGCTGGTTGGCTGGTTTATTCGACTTGCGAATGCCGATAACCGTGGCTTCTTTCCAGTCGTCCAGAAAGGAGCAACTGAAGTGTAAAGTATTGTAAAAGGTCGCAAGTAAACAGATAAGCGGCCCAGGGAGAGCTTTAAGAATTTTGTTACTAATATTATCTGGGCCCGGGGCGGATTTGGGTTTTAAATTTTTAATAATATCTTGGACCTCTTCGGGGGTCACTGAACTCAAAGGATCACCTTCCGGTGGAAGCGCAGCCCTAATCTCCATTACGCGGTCCACCTCCGTTAGGTGGGCTGTATCGATGTGTTCGCGCGATGGCGAACATTGCTGCTCTAGGTTTTCCGTAAGGCATTCGGCTTTTTCGGAGTCATCTAGGGCTACTGAAGCGCTATTAGGTCTAACTAACGGCGGTAGAGATTCGTAGGGGTCTGCTTTGGCGGTGTGCGATGGCTCGATGTCCTCTAGGAGAGTGTCCCACGTTGTATGTCGGTGTTCCGATACAAGATCTTTGATTTCTAGCTGAAGGTGTCGAAGTAGGGTTCGGTTCGATTCCGATCGGTATCGGTCGAAAGCAAGTTTGGCTGCATTTTTCTGCCTAATTAGCAGTCGCAGGTCGGGCGGAAAGTTAAACCGTCGATCGCCCGACAGTTTAACCATCCGTTCCGAGTCTGCGACTGCGGAAGTGATGGTTTCTCGGAGACTTGCTATCGCTCGATTTGCGTCATCGAACGTAGCTATCGTCTCGGGTAGGTCGACTAAGTTCTGGGGGTCCAAGGCCTTGAGTTTGACCTCAAGACGATGCTAGTCCACTACGGATTTGGTCGGTCGCCGGCGTTCTGGCCCAGTTTACACAGGACGGGCCTGTGATCTGATTGAATCTAGTTCATGGATTGTCTCTATCGACTCGATGTCGAGCGAGACCGCCTTGAGTAACATGATGTCTAGGATACTCGGTGTCGCGTGTTGGTAGTTGTCCACCGTAGGATACCTAGTGGGAGTCGCAGGAGCGATTATGCTAAAGTTTAAATTATCGGATAAGCTAAAGAGATGCTTTCCGTTGTTTTTTGGGATGCTGTGGATGTCCCATGAGGCGTGTTTGCAGTTTAGATCTCCTGCAATTATCACGGAAGGGCCTAAGTTGAGTAGCGTATCTAGGTCGCTTTGTAGTAAGGTTTTGTTCCCCGAGAGGTAGGCTGAGACTAGTACAAGCGGCCTGTGGCTGGTGAGCGCTAACCTACACGCGGATGCTTCTATTTTGCTTAGCTCTGGAATGCCGAGCGGGCAACAGTGCAAGGTGCACTAGGTCTTAAGAATGTCTGTTGCACTAGAAAAATATCTACATTGTAATTGCGAAGGAATTCTGCGATTTCGTCCCTTTGACCCTTAATGCCGTTTGCGTTGAAATACGAAACAACCAGAGCCCGAGGTTTTGTTCTACCCGCGGTTGTACTTTACCTTAAAGTCTTTTTACGGTTGTAAATAACGACGCGGCGGAGCGCGGTTTTATTCCGCGGAATATTGTGTCTTTATGGTTGGCTTGTAAAAGCCCATAGGGCTTCTACAAGCATTTTGTGTTCGCTGATGCTCTAAGACGCTCGTTGCCAGATGTGGCGGCCGCTATTTTAGCGGACAATACGGCGAGTTCCTGTCTATTGATGCGGTCTAATCCGCAGATGTTGGCAATTTGGGCGAACGGGTCGTCCTTGTTTTCTGCGAAAACTGACGGTGTTAACTGCACCTGCGGCCTCGGTGCCGTTTGAACGGCGGGCTGTGGCTGAGCGATTGGTCGTGATGCGACCCGGGGCGCGACTACCTGCGCGGCCACTTGGGGTTTCGCCCAGGCGTTTACGATGAGTACAGGCGTGGGAACGTATTTCACGGGCGCGGGTTTGGGCAAAGTGGATTTAGCGGGAGATTTTCTCGCGGGAGTTTTCGGGGCCTTAGCGCAGCCTCTATAACTAGCCGGGTGGCCGGTGGTATGACAATTGACGCAGTCTGGTGGATCTGCGCAATCTTTCGGCCGCGTGCACTCTGGCGTGCCGTGGTCACCGGTGCATTTGACGCACCTAGGGTGAGCAAACCAATTGTTGGCCGTGTGGCCGTAGTGCTGGCAGGTTTGGCACTGTGCCACAACGCCTGATTTACGCGGGGGCTCGATGACTAAGTCACTGAGCCCACAGACCCTCTTCAGGTTGAAGATGGCCTTACCTTCCAGGGTAGGGTCCTGTTCAACCATGACCATGTCCATAGGGACACGGGTTCTGGGATGCCTAAGACGTCGCACTGCATGCACGGGGTATCCCTGAGTGCGGATGTCGACTTTAGCCTTATCGACATCAGACTCTTTGGGGACGCCCTTTATTACAACCCGAAGTTTACGCTCTTCGGGCAACGAGTAGGTGTGAAAACCTATCTTATTTTCGCGTAAATATTTGGTTACGCGGCGAAAATCGTCTGTTGTGTCCAGATATACGCGGATACCCATGTGGGTATTTTTTTACCTGAGGTCGCGGATGTTCTGACGTTCAAACCACGAGCATACTTGATGCCACTTTGCTTTTTCTTGTATAATTATTGGCGGCGGTGGCTTAATACCTTGAATACGGGTACCGATTGGGCAGCTACGGCTGCTTTCTTGGCGGGCGTCGTGGTGGGACGGTTAGATGAGGCGGCCTCGCATTCGGGGTCGCTATCAGTTGCAGGGCATTTTTTGCCCTTTTTACGCGACTTTACGACGGTGAAGCCGTCGGCG